TTTCTGAATTGTTATTTTGTTTTTTAGACTTGCATTTGCGTTTGTAATTTGTTATTTTGTTTTCAGAATTGTGATTTGCTTTGCACTTTTCGGCCACCGTATAGGCCAGTTTCAAATCGCCTATTTGACACACTGCCTTTGTCTTGTCCTCAGTCAATTTAAAGTGCTCCCACACAGCTGAGGTCTTCGGCATTTTTGTCTTCTCTTCCAGATGAACTGAATCATGACGTTCATGACGTTCACTCATGGGCGATTCATATTCAAGCGTGAATGAGAACCGTTTCACGGAGGATGCCAGGTGTTCGAGAGAAAAAAATTAAAATAATATTCGAATCTCAAAATTGAAAATCGAATGCCAACCCACCGAACGAGTATTCGAATAATCGAATATTCTGGTCCAGCCCTACTTTATAATTGTATTGGAGTCTTACACACATGCTAATTTGAGCCATGCATTAATTTGAGTGATGACCGCTATTATGGGAGTGGCTTGATGTAGCGCAGGAGATGCAGATAACATGATCCTGACCCTTAAGAAACTTTAATTAATGCTGTCACGTTACAAATCTGTTCAAATATAAAATTAAATTAATTGCTAATTATTACATTGAAATAAAAATGTAAAGCCTGTACAAATATTAGAAATCGTGAATATAAATAATTGAGAATCATGTAAAAAATTAAAATTAAAATAAAAACAGTGCACATTTCGTTTATCTATTTTAACATTTATGTAGTTTTGTTCGCTTGGCTGTTTCCTTATAAAAGTCCAAAAATTTGTCAAGTTTTTTGTCAGGTGTCTTTTTTTAATTATATGATGTCATTACGTTGCTGTCTTGCCGCCAGCCAATTGCTGCATTGCTGATCGTGGTTGCGAGCATCGATACATAGCCCCTTTTAAACCAACCCATGAACGCGCAATTATCTCAGATAACTCAATCCAGCCATACTAATCATCAACAACAGGTGCTTTCGAAGAACCGAATTAGCCAGAACCTGATTAGTGTGATTATATCATCTTGGATGTGACATTTCATCTCGGATGTAATAAGCGACGTAGGAAGAACGGGCCCCATATCCCTGTACGACTGGAAAGGGAATTGCTTGGAATGTAAACACACAGGCCGCTACTGAGAGGGCTATCCCAAATTTAAAAAATCACTCTGTCAAAAAAGGGACATGCTTCCAGGTGGCCCAGTTTAACCCTTACCACAACATTATTGAATAATGCAGTAATGCTTGGTCAGTTCAGCATTCCATTCATGTGAAAATTCATGATATGATGTGGAATACTTGACCATTTAGCTAATCGATGAACACCACCAATTGATTTTAACCCTAACAAAGGCTAGGTTTATATGTCATCAACTGTATATCTTCTAGTACAGTGCTTCTCACAATGTGGTACTTTACAATCTTGGTGTCCCTGATTTTTCAGTGTTTACTTTCTGATCTCTTTAACACATTTATGTATATGTGTAAGACTTAGAAATGACTTTAGTCTGTCCACAAAAAAGAGAGCAGTGCAACAAAGGCAGTGGACAAAACAAGAGTAGTAAAAGAATATAAATGATTTATATATGTGAAAAATAAAATATAAATGTGATTTTAAATTCTAAATACATTTTGTTTTTAAAAAATAAGATAAATGTTGTAAAATATATTTATTTTTTAAATGTTTATTAGTTTAAACATTATAGAGTCAAACTCAAAATGTATGCATGTGTTGGAAAAATATAAATGTTTTTTTTTACAAAAAAATTGAATTTCAATTTCAATTTGTTTTAAAATATGATTTTATTCTATGCTCTAAAATATATGTAATGCATTTGTAAGTTATATATTTATTATAATTTAATTTGAAAATATTATTTTTCAAAAACAGAATATTTTTGTTTGAAAAATAATATAAATATTTTAAAATATATTTTGAATGTTTTATACAAAATAGTCTAGTACAGTAATAATATTACAATAAATCACAATATAGCATAGCTTTTAATACCTTATTGCTTCAAAATAGTCCAAACAACACAGCGTCTCAAAGAAGATAGTTGTTGGCATGTTTTGTGCTTGACAAAATCTTTGATTTTCAATATGGTATTTTGTTCCAGTTTATTTGTTTTGAACAAGATATTGTTTTCCTGAACATTTAGGAATGGAACAACTCTTGTTTTTATTGAAACTATTTCCAGTGGCAAAGTGAGATTTCTTTGCTGGATTGCATATTTAGGCTCGCACACACAGAGTCTAGTCTGTTTTCCTTGTGGCCGCCTACATATCTACTGTTCAGTTCTGCGTGGTTACAGTCCAGACCACGCGCTCCTTTTCTGCCTACTCTTATTGCTGAATATTTAAAAGTGGTTTCCTATAGTTGGATCAGACGTGTATATATGGATTTATATTTCCTTAGAAATTTGTTTATTGATTAAGCTACCTTGTGGATTTTTGGTTTGACTGGTTTTGAAGTCTGAATGCTTTTTCACCTCCTATTTGATCTAGACTTGCCAAACAGGAAAACTCGCCCGTTTTCCTTCAGGGCCTCCCATCTTTCCTCACATAGTTTTGGTTTCGGGCACTGGCAGAAGTGTCAATTCCATCCATTTCCATCAGATTGTAGCCACTAATGACCAGCCGTGAATATCCAACCTGTGGGCAGTGTAAATGTAACAGGAGAACAGTGTTACATAAGACAGCTGGGCGTCATCCAAGGGTCTATATCTCTCGTTCTCCACCCCCAAACAAGCTGGGACTGTTACATATTAATGCTTTGTAAGTTTGAACTGAGATTGGCCCAGATTTGATTCATGTTTGTTAATTTTCTGTGTTGTTTTGTTGGTGTATAGACAGAGGACCCTGCAATGGAGCGGCCGTACACGTTTAAAGACTTTCTCCTGCGTCCAAGAAGGTCAGTGGTCATGCAGCTTTCACAAACACAGTAAAGGAACATTAGCGGTTATTTTTAAAGTTACAACAGGGTGATGTGTTGGTTTTGCACTTTGACCTTATTCAGAGGACTGGGCGTTTTATACAATACAGCACATTTGAGGTTTGTCAGTTCTTTCGGAATGAAATGTGAACACCTGGCTGTGAATCCCCTTAATGTTCTGTGGTTATAGTTACGGCCAAAGATTTTACACAGGAACAGTTAATGCATGTGGACTGTACTTTGCTATATTTGAATGTTATCCTTGACTCTACTTCACTATAAACTATACTTCACTATACAGTGATTCTCAACCAGAGATAGTCCCCTCTTTTTTAAAACTGTTTAGTTTATTGGAAAAATATTGGGGCTCTTAAAAGATTAAAATAATTTCAAACAATTATTCAAACAATTAAATTCCTTGTAATTAAGGGCTTAGAAAGAATACAAAATAATGTGTTAAAAAAATACTGTTTTTACTATGCTCTATGATGACTTGTGTGATGACATGCTTTTATGTCCTGTAGTCATAAGTCTCGGGTGAAAGGCTGCCTGAGGCTGAAGATGGCCTACCTGCCAAAGGACGGAGGGCATGAGGAGGAAAGCAGCGAGATGAGGGAAGAAGCTGAGGTAAAACCAACCCATTCGCAGAAACATTCTTGTATATCTATATGTCTCTCTCGCTCTTTTGAATGTCTCAACTCAAAAAAAAAAAAAGTTAATTGTTAGAATTTTACTTTCAACAGTAAAGGTTATAAGTAGGGCTGTCAAAATTAACGCATTAACGCAAATTAATTTTAATGGCACTACTTTTATTAACGTGCTATTTAATGCAGGTCATATTTTCTGTTTCAGGGTTTCCGCGGGTCCTTAAAAAGTCTTAAGAGGTCTTAAATTTAGTTGTATAATTTAAGACCATAAAAAGTCTTAAATGGTACAAGAAAGTCTTAATTATGATTTCAAGAGGTCTTAAATTTGGGGAGGGAAAGACAAGAACTGCAATATGGCTTAATCTGATGATTTAACTTCAAAAAGCAATGACTTCATTGAATAAATATGAGCGCTGAATGTTTCAAAGTCAGCTGCTGTGCTGCTTTGTTTACAGTCGGAGAAACCGCTCTATTTCTGCCATTCCGACAGCGCCATCTGTTGCCAGAGAATGAATTTGCATTTTCATCAAGCCCCTCTGCTGTTTTTGTTCAGACCAATGCAGACATCCACCCATGTGTTTATCCAGCAAACATGCAGTTGTAAATGTGAACTGATAGATCGATAAGAAGATAATGCATTATAAAAATTTATATTATAATTGATACTTTTGACTTTTAATTCAATTTCTTAAAAATTTAAAGAACTTAGTTTTTGGGAAAACCTGTATCTGAATTCTTTATACTCTGTTGAGTATGGTTTCACTAATAATAAACATACATTTGCATAAAGCATCCATATTTGTCCATGCCCATTTTGATTAGAGTATTAAAAACTTAAAAGGTATTAATTTAAGTTACATTTAAAACGGATAAAAATGTGCGATTAAGTTGCGATTAATCACGAGTTAACTCATGACAATCATGCAATTAATCGTGATTAAATATTTTAATTGATTGACAGCCCTAGTTATAAGATAAGAAAATGTTGAAAAATATGACGAGATATTAATGCACAAACAATGTTTTTTAATGTAGTACATTGATTCAGACAATCAGATTTATCTACCAAATCATCAACTCACTCATAAATGGACAAAAATGTATGAATATGACATGAAATAAATAATAAGCACAGTGGCATCTAAATTACAGAACATGTTTTGAAAGATGAAAACTATAACTGAAACTTGCCTTTTATTTTAGAAAAAAAAAATAATGTACATGGATTTGCAGTTGTCGGAACATGTACGTAGATGTGGACCAACATTATAGTAGATACAGTATACTCCAATATTATAGAACATGGCAGATAACTGAAAGATGTCTTGAAATGTTTTCTATCCAGAATGAAGAGACACTTAAATGTCTCCTTTCTTGCTTTAACTCCTTCTTTTCAGTGATTTTAGTGTCTATTCATCCTCATCCCCACAGACTACCTGGCATTTTTCGTTTAAAGTATGCCATTTGGCTTGAACCATTTGACTGTCTGGCATTTCCTTCTTTTACCTTTCATGGCTTCCTGTTCTCTGACTTTTATTCCCACTGTTCAGTTTTCAGTTTGGTTTGAATTTTTTCTTTTTTTCCTCTGCTAGGGAGAGTGCCGTGCCATAGCAGCTGCAATACTAATCATAACGTATTAAGATCGAATAGGAGAAAGAATTTAACATTTGAAAAAAACTGAGACTTTCGACTTTTGTTCTTGAAAATAACCTTGTCCCTAGATTTTTTGCAATGATCATTTTTGGTGCTAATATACTAAAATTTTGAAGACTGTCTCACTCTCACTTACTCTTCTGTCTCTCACTTTGTTCTTCTCAGGGCTGGGAGGTGACAGACTCCACGGATCCAGGTTCACAGAGACCTCAGCAGCTCCTGCCTCCACTGCCTCCTGCCTGGGAAGAGAAGGTCGATAACCTGGGACGGACATACTATGTCAACCACAACAACCGCACCACACAGTGGAAGAGGCCCAGTAGTGTGTATGTGACCTCTTTTGTCATTTATCAAAGAGCACATGTAAAAATGAGCAAAAACACTGAAAAACTCAAATCAGAATATTGATGTAACTGACATAAAAAGTTATCTTGTAGATTCGTCTGCAAATGACTAGTTAATGCGCCGTTATTTTGAATTTATCATGATTTTCTGACAACCGTACCAGACTCTGATATGTGTGGAACATGCTTTTTCTCCCTATCTTTGTTTTAGGGATGTGGTTTCAGAAACGGAAAATGATAATCACTTACGGCATATTAACCAGGAAGCCCACAGAGTTTTCCGCTCTCGACGGCATATTAGTGAAGACCTGGAAAATGAGCAGCTGGACATCAGGGAAATAGACGACGTTAGTATTTCACTCTGATCTCTGCAGCTATGACGTGAGCTAGATAGCATCATCCTTTCTGTGAAAAGCTTTTGGTTCTAAATAAAGTATCTCACTGTGGTTAAAAATGTAAAGATTATCCAATGTTTTTACATATTTAGTGTTAATAAAAGCAATGTTATGTTAGGGTCTCATGCATATCCTTCCTTTTCCAGTCATGGGAACCCATATCAGAGGAGGACCCAACTTTAATGGCGGATGGTCTAAACCATTCTCTGACCGGACCCTCCTCTCTGGCGATGCCCCTCTCCAGCACTCCAGAATTCTCAGATGAAATCAGCCTTAGATTGTCTCTCACTCCAGACGTGAATGGAGAAATCCCAGGACCCAGCTCTGCTGTGGTAAGAGAGAACAAAGTTTTAAATCTGCTGTCATCCATGTTCAAAGGGCCAGAGAGAGAATGAGAGAGAGAGGAAAGTAAATAAATAAATAAACAGCTACATTCTATGGCACAACAACAGTAGAATTTGTAAAATTATAGTGGGTTGTAAATACACATATATAAATACATACAGTGGGTATAAAAAAGAATGCCCCCCCTTTTAAATAATCACATTTTGTTGTGATTCTGGAAGTGATGTTGGTGTTATATCTTTCACTTGATTGTTATAAGTTGCACTGAGTAAATGCAGCTGGAATGAGAAGAGGCAGTGCAGTATGGCTCTATATCAGCACAGCTACTCAAGTGATATTGCTCTTTTTTTTTATTCTACATAAGGGTATTGTGTGTGAAATTCTTGAAATGGTGAGTAAAATTGTATTATTAAGAGTGTCAAAACGAATAGCTGACTCCACACACGTGCACCTCTGTACACTCACGCTGAATCACTCAGTGAGTCACTGTGGATGCAGCGCAGGGGTCCTCTGTGAGCTTCTGCAGGAAGGAGCCACTCAGTTGGAAAAATCTTTGTTCACTCTACACTTAAGACTGAATTGTTTTTAAAATTCAATGTTTTGGACTGAGTGACTTTTGTGGTATTTGCAAGTAATGAAACTGGATAATACATTGCTCATTTGTTCAGACAATGTAGTCTACATGGCTAGATGAAAAACTGTCTGGAATAGGCTCAGACTTCTGATCTGTTTCTATTTGTAATTGTGTTAAACAAAGCTGAAGTTGCTACACTCTCTTTTTGTGGCTGAAAGTATAGTCAAATTAGACGAAATGTTTAATAAAAGCAAGGGGCCTAGAGAGGTATAAACTGAAAATGTTGCTTCGGATGATGCCTATCATGACATCTGCCACAGTGTTGAATTCACAAAGCGTAGCTGATACATAAGCGCCAGAGGATTACTGTATATACACATTGATGCATATGTGTTTGAAATCGCTTGATCACTCACTCATCTATCATTCAATACTGAATGGCACATGTGAGTTTAGATGAATTCAGACGGCTTTGGACACTACTGAACTTTGTGTATGAATTTGATCGTCACTTCACATCCGAAATGAAAAAAACCAACAAAAAAACTTGAAAGCAGAGGTTGTAAAAAATAAAATAAAAATAGCATTAAATATTAAGTCATGAAATATGAAATTAAATTAAATATGAAATTAGTGTTTAATTTTTTATGATAGCTTTGCGCATTACTGAACTTTGTGTATGAATTTATTCACGTCATCCCATCTGACAAAAAAAGCAGAGTTTGTAAACGAAACATGCATATTATTCAATATTATACTATTTAAATGATTTTAAAGAAATATTAAAGGTTTTCTTTTCGGGGCATAAACTACAGATTCAGCTAAGGCAAAAAAATCTCATTTTTGTTTATCTGACCTTTTTTTTTTTTTTTTTATGACTTGGCTGAATTCAGTTCAGAGGACCACTTAGAAAATGACTACTCCGAAAGATGTTAGATATTTATGTCTTTATTTATTTATAACCATGCCTAATGCCTTTTTTATCTCTTTCTCTCACTCCAGCAGAGTCATCTTTCCTCTCGGCTGCGCTCCTCTAGTATGACTGATGGAGTCAGTGATCAAGCTCAACCTCCCACACCGACGGTACATCTGCTTTTCTCCTCCTCACCTCTCCTTCACTCTGCATGTGGTGTTTTTTTTCACTCACTCACTGACTCTCAGTATGATACAGTTTTTCACTCTTTCAGCGTCAAATCAAGAGCTATAAACTCCCTAACACATTCGAAAGTTCACCTGATTTCAGAATGTTCCTGTTGTCTCTAATGAACATCTTGGCTGCTTTTGGGAATGCCATGAATGCGACAATAGGAATCTTCGGTAACACTTTATACAATGCTTTAAAGTCAACATGAAATAAAAAATCGACCATGTTTACTTCATTAAAACACATTCCTGATTGTATTGTAAATTATTTATTAATTCTGATTCATTCCAAAAACAATTCTATGAATTTTCAAAGAGAAAAACATGTTTGTCTCTTATTTTCCCTCCCAGTCAATTCCAGATGGAAATTTTTTTTTTAAATGGGTTGCAAATAAATCTTTCATGTTGACTTTAACAAACTTTGGAGCCTTGTCACTACTGACACGTTGTGCCTTGATGCTCATATAGGTGGCACAGGTTCAAATCTGGCTTGGAGCATTATCCTGACCACGTTTTCCATATCTTACTCATAACATCCGTCCTCTTTCTACTATATCTGTTGAATAAGAATCAAAAGGTAAAAATAATAATAAAAAAAAAACACAATGCTTGCACATACACATGAATTTTTATATATATATATATCATTTATTAATATTTGACTGATCTGTTAAACATTATATCATGAAAATGACCAAATTAGTGTTATTATAAAATTATTTTTTTTTTTTTTTTACTGTAGTGCAAGTCTGTCACACAAGCAAATACTGTAAATTGTATTTCATTTAGACTTGTAATAAAGTTCATAGGTGTTACTTTTACTTTTTTCGCTCTTCACAATATTTTCCTTTCTGTTCCTCTGAAGAAAGTAAGTCATACACATTTTTTATTTAAGTGTTATATCTCTCTCAGACCCTGATTTACTTGAGAATCACTCTGGAAGCTCATTCTTCTGCTATAAGCATCTCCTGATGCCTGGGATCATTTTAAAGAGCAGTCTTAAATGTCTAAAGTCTGTCCACCTGAATAGTTTGAATATAAAGTAGTCATATTAATCTTTTAACTCCACACTTTCGTACAACATTCTTGAACTTTGAAGCTTTGAAGTAACATTTCCTTTACACTGGAAAAAAAATGCTTTTCCTCATCCGCCTGAATCCGCTTTAAATAGCCATTTCATTACACCAAATACACAAAATAATGTTCTTTTTAGCATCAGCATATGACCCCTTTAAAGCATGCTGTCTGAAAAGTATTAATTTAAAAAAAAATTTAACTGTTTAAGTCTGTCACACAAACAAATACTGTAAATTGCATTTAATTTAGACTTGGAATATAGTTCATAGGTGCTACTTTTACTTTTTTCGCTCTTCACAATATTTTCCTTTCTGTTCCTCTGAACAAAGTAAGTCATACACATTTTTTTATTTAAGTGTTATATCTCTCTCAGACCCTGATTTACTTGTGAATCACTCTGGAAGCTCATTCTTCTGCTATAAGCATCTCCTGATGCCTGGGATAATTTTAAAGAGCAGTCTTAAATGTCTAAAGTCTGTCCACCTGAATAGTTTGATTATAAAGTAGTCATATTAATCTTTTAACTCCACACTTTCGTACAACATTCTTGAACTTTGAAGCTTTGAAGTAACATTTCCTTTACACTGGAAAAAAAATGCTTTTCCTCATCTGCCTGAATCCGCTTTAAATAGTTCTCACAAAATCACCCCCTTCAGCCATCAAAAATCACCTAAAATAACAAAAACTACCCTAAAATCACTTCCCCAATCTACTCGTCGTTCTGCTTTCTGGCTGAACCTGTCCTTCCATTTGCCCTCATTTCCCCTCTCCCACTGGCCCAAAACAGGGCGATTGCCTGCCCCATCTAAAAGCAGCTGTTATTGTCCAGCAGAGCTCCCAGCCCCGACGAACAAGAGCACAAACGGTCACAGGCGTTGAGGACATCATGGTAATATCCACATGTTGTACATTTGTGCTCTCCTGTGTTCTTGGTTCTTCTCCTTCTTTCTTTTATTTATTTAGTGTTTGTGTTTACAGAGATGTGATTAAGTATATTCATTATTATTAATATAATTACATTTTTATTACTTTTGATAATTTAATTTATATTTATAAATTCATAATTTGTTTTAATTAAATGTATCAATTTTTATTAGGAGTGTTCTTTGTAGATGGCACCTCTCATTTCACTTTTTTCATTTTACAACAGTTCTTTAATGTGGTATTGATGTAAGATATTGTGAGTTAATTCATTCATTAATTTTCCCTTTATTAAGATAATTAAAAGTATTAATTATTGTTATTTGAAATTAATTTAATGTATTATTATTATTATTATTAATTGTATTATAATATATTAATATAATATAATTTAATTTATTATTATGTTATTAATTTAAATTTATAAATGTATACTTTTTTAAATAATTTAAATTAACCATTTTTTATATACACTAAAAACAGTAATTTTGTTTAGCACTATTATGATTTAAAATACTATACTATTATTATGATTTAAAAAAAAACTTCTCTATTTTAATATTTTAAAATGTAATGAATTCCTGTGATCAAAGCTGAATTTTCAGCAGTCTTCAGTTTCACATGATCCTTCTGAAATCGTCTGTTAAAATTGTATAGATAATAATAGATATTAGAATTTCGGATCTTATATAGACTATGAATATTCTATGGCAGTGTATCAAATACTTATTTGCCCCACTGTATATATTAACATTGTTTTTTTGACATTTGTACTTTGTCATTTGTACCATATTTTGCTTTGTTTGTTTTCCCCTGCAAATTAGTGACAACAATGCCAGTCTTTGCTTTCCTCATATTTTCAATGTGTTGACTTAATGTGAGGAATTTTTATTATATGTGATGACACGTGCAGTTCTGAAGAAAAAAAGATTGCTTCTAGATAAACCTCTGAGGTAATAGTTGTTTGCGCAAAGCTCAAGTTTCCTTCAGTTTGAGTGTCTTTGATTTGAATCGTGTCATTTACATAAGTGAGATTCAGTTTATCATTCATGCAATTGACAAAGCCAGTTTTTCATCACATTTGGTGCTAGACAAGTGTCAATTTGAAACCGGGTTTCACACCTGTTTTGTTTCCATTGTGACAGTGCAGTGTAATATAATCACAATATCCACACACAGTTGGTTGAACTAGGAAATTAGAATCCCATTCTATGCACACTGCCACTGGCTTCTTTTAGGTATGAACAGCTGAGGCAAATGATTGGTTGTAGCCCTTGCATTATGCATGGATCAGTTTTAATATGAAAGTCTGATTTCCCAAAAAAACTATTCAGTCAAGTGACCCATCTGCTCCAGACCTTTCAGTTCAAGTTAATTGAATTCACTTCGATGCACAGTAAAAGAAGAAAAAAAAATCCTGTTATTTCCGCTTTGTGCTGCTCAGTCATTATTTTGTTCTCTTGCAGCTGCCAGCAAACTTGTTTTTGTTTTATAAAGCGTTTTTGATAGAAAATGTCCAAACAGCCATACGTTCTTGAAAATACCTACAGATTTTTGCAATACTCAAAGGGTTCTTTGTTAAATTCATTTTTTAGTATTTCACAGTTACAGTATGACCAACAATTAATTAAATGATCATCTACTAACCAGATATCAATATACCAATTTTTTTTTGCACATTATGGCATTATGAGATCCGGTATTTTTGCTTAATGACTGTTAAAACATTTACATTACATTTAGTCATTTAGCAGACGCTTTTATCCAAAGCGACTTACAATTGGGGGATACATAAAGCGATTCTTCTTAAGAGAGGCAAACAGACACAAGAAGTGGTTGTAATACCAAGTTCTTAGACATTGTTCAAATAAGTACAAGCTTCGAAAGAGATGAGTTTTCAGCTGTCGCTTGAAAATTGTCAGGGATTCAGCATTCCGGATAGGGGTGGGAAGATCGTTCCACCAGCCAGGAGTGGTGAATGAGAATGTTCTGGAAAGTGATTTTGAGCCTCTCTGTGATGGTACCACGAGGCGTCGCTCACTAGCGGATCTCAGACTTCTATAGGGGTTTGACCAGAATATTGTCTGCAGTACAACTGCGTGTGTAAATTAAGTCAAGTTGGTTGCCAGATTTGTGCGTGCTTGTGGTGGTAAGTCGTTTGAGATCAAATGAAGCAAGGAGTGAATGGAAGTCTGTAGCATAAGGCTTGTCCAGATGAATGTTGAAGTCGCCAAAGACTAAAAGTGGACTGCCATCCTCCGGGAATGAGGACAGCAGCCCATCCAGCTCTTCTAGGAAGGTGGATAGAATTTGCCCAGGAGGGCGGTAAATTACCACAACCTGGAGTTTTACGGGAGCTGTTATAGTGATCACATGAGATTCAAATGAGTTGTAATTGCATAGGGGAGATTGGGTTGAGTATTTCCAATTGTTAGAAATGAGCAGACCAGTGCCCCCACCCCGGCCAACCTGACGGGGGGTATGAGAGAAAGAGAAATTGTTAGAGAGAGCAGCTGGGGTTGCTGAGTCTTCTGGACGAATCCAGGTCTCAGTCAAGCCCAATATGCTAAGTGTGGGGTTTAAAGAAAAAGAAGAAATGAAGTCTGCTTTGTTGACAGCTGACTGACAATTCCAGAGACCCATAGAGAAAGAAAGAGGTGCAGTAGAGGATGTAGAGATAGGATGCAGGTTAGCAACATTGCGTTGCCTTCTGCGTGTGACCGTAGAGCGTCGTCGAGAGACAACCGGAATGGTTTGGAAGCACATGATAGAGGTGGGAAAGAGAGGACAGAAAAGGAGAGTGTGTACAGGGAAGAGCAAAAATATACTTAAGTGCCTTGGCGATTTCGTTGCTCGGTGAAGTCGCAGGTCTTTACCCTCGTTGGTCTTCACACAAGGAGGCCTGAACGCTTCCGCTGATGCTTCCGCGTCAGCGCACAGACATCAGATAAATACACAGTCTAAGACACTAAAGTGAAAACAGCTGTGGCCGCCTTCTAATTAGCACAGCCAATAGTCTATAGCAGGGCAATTCCTCCAATCGAAACTACAGTTCGCACTTCAACGCAGGAAGGGAGCAATTAAATTACACGCGCTCCTTCTTAGCCGAGGGCAGTTATTATAATTACCAGAAAGTGCAATCAAAAATACAAACGCAAACAAAAATATAACGTAGAAATAGGCAGAAAACGAAATATTCCTTCTTAGCAGCAAGTAATAATTCCAACAGCAGATCTATAACCAAGTATTACGCAGGACACTCACGTGCAGCCGTCTGTCTCTTCTGTTGACTAATCGCTTGACCCCTTGAAATATTAAAATGTATATTTGCTTACTTGGTCAGGCAAGTTCCTACATAGCGGTGCTAGTTTTGTCTCTCATATCACTCCATGGTCATTTTGTCTCACAAAATGAAATGATTTCTACCATGCAATATTTAAATAGTTTAGTTAGATTTTCAATCTTAAGAATTTAAAGGCGTTTCACTGATTTTGTCTTACTTTTTGGAGAAAAAAAATGTATTTCACTTTTTTTCTTTCATTTTATTTCAATGAAATGATAGGTTTTTGTAAATTTTTAATAAAGAGAATTAAAAGTAAAGACATTTTTCCACAGCCCAATTTGCTTATATTTTTGCCATGGGTTTCGTCAATCTTTTTGTTTTTCTTCAAATAGGGGTGCACATAATGCACATAATGGGAATAGTATATACTGTCAGAATGTCAATTTTGCATTTTTCGTTTGTTTTATAAATTTTGTAAATTTATTCAAGATAAGATGAGACTTTGACGATACAAAAAAAAACACTTCTTGAGATGTACTGTGTTTGTAATCATCCCACAGACTTACAAAAGTTTAGACTTTATTTGTGATGTTGAAATCTTCTCAAAGTTGAATTGAGCAGCTGTTGTGTGTATGAAGTTTTAATATGCTCATCAACATTTACGTGTGCATGAAGGGAACAGGGCTTCTACCCCCACTTTGTACATTCGTATCAGTTGACGCCTCATAAAATTTGGGTTGGGGCAGCTGTCCTTTTGCTTATCGTGAAACGTGCCAAAGTGTCACCATTGCCAAAAAGTAGTTTAACCTCTCAAACAGCCATGACTTCATAGTTTCCTTCTGTTCTCTTGCTCTAAATCCATGTCAGATCTTAAACCTACTTCTTATTTTGATTTTATAGTATATTGTTTTGAAATATATCCGTATATACCTACTAAATTTTTTCCCATAACATGCTTTTGATTAATGTTATGACATGATTTTATTTTATTTATTATTATTATTTTTACATATTATGTTATTTATTTGTGATGCTTTAGACTTGTGTAAGTACTGTTTTTACTGTTTGTTTTGCAAATTCTTTCCAGTGGTAATCGACAACAGGCCACATATGGTGTTTGTAGAGCTCAAATTGTAATTTAATCCAGAATATTCCTTTGAAAATTGCAAACAATTTTATCTGCGACGCCTGACCTCAGCCAGAGCTAATGGCCTCTGCTGTGAAGAATGACTTTGCTAATGGTATAAACAATAGCTCTTGTGGCTAATCTGCAGATGTTGGGGAATAAATGTCTTGTGTTCTCTCTCATAGCAATAATTGCTAATTACAGCCACACACTTCGGTGTAGACCTTGTAGCTAACAAAAAATGCATGGCGCTGTCTGGTGTGGTATTGATTAAAATCCGTCTTCTGTCCTTCTTGATTCTTTCTGTCATAGCTTGAGCTTGATATTTTAAACAGAACTATGGCTTCAGCGCATCTCTTAACCGAAGCATCACTCGCCACTTGAAACATTTGCTGATAGTGTCACAGAAAGGTGATGACGGAAGGGTTTATGAGGTTGCTATAGAGGAAGCTAGTAGTGAAATAAAAAGAAAGAGATATCTTGTATCTGATCTTGGTACAGGGAAAACAATTCTTGACGATTGCTTGCACAAGAAGAGGGTTTTCTCTCAGTTATGCATTTGACATTGTATCGTACAGCTTGATATATAGTGACAGATCCTCACAGGACCAACAGACAATCTGTTTTGATTTTCTTATACTACCATTTTATGATGTGTCATACAAAATTTTACTGTTAATCATTATCTGCACTCAAGTAGTTTGAATATTTAAAAATAATACTGTTAATACTTTTGGATTTTTAATATAATATAATATAATATATGGGGGAAGTCGTGGCCTAAAGGTTAGAGAGTCGGACTCGTAACCCAAAGGTTGTGGGTTCGAGTCTCGTACCGGCAGGGGTTGTAGGTGGGGGGAGTGAATGTACAGCGCTCTCTCCCACCTTCAATACCACGACTGAGGTGCCCTTGAGCAAGGCACCGAACCCCCACCTGCACTACGCAGCAAAAAAATGGCTGCCCACTGCTCCGGGTGTGTGTTCACGGTGTGTGTGTGTGTTCACTGCTGTGTGTGTGCACTTTGGATGGGTTAAATGCAGAGCACTAATTCCAAGTATGGGTAATGCTGTAGACTTATTTGTAATATAATATATATTAACTTTACTAATATTCCTCTACTCTTTATGTTAATAGAATATTGAATATATAATATTATTTATGATGCTGTAGACTTGTGGAACTGATGTTTTTACGGTTTGCTTTTACAAATTAAAAAATATATATATTCTTAAGTATAAAGTTTTTAAAACACTAAATAATATGGCTAAAATGATTCACAAAAGTTTGAGCTGGATTAGTAGCTGAGAAGTATGTGAGGAAGAATAAAATGAAGGATGAGGGATTTCTGTAAAGCGCCTGCTTTGAAAGTAATGTAAAAATATTTAACACTTTATAATAACTTTCATTTATAAATCATTAACAAACATGATATAATGCTTAACAGATCATTGGTTAGTTTACTTGCATAGCTAGAAATATGAGATAATGTTCTTATTAATGTTTACTAATGAACCTAATGATTAGCATATGATTATTGAATGTAAATTGAAATGCTTACAAATGTCAGTAAACTTTCAGTTAATATGATATTCATTCGTTGGTCTTTGTTTGTTGTGTAGACCTCTATTTATACATCTTAATAAATAATGTATTCATTATTTGTTCATGTTTTTTCAGTACCCAATCTAAAGTGGAAACTATTCATTATTTGCAAATGTTTACTAATCATTAATACCTTTGAGCAGTCATCTCAATGGCAAAAAGCATCCCGAAAGACCTGAATTTACCCTATTCACACATCTTTATTAATCATTTGTTCATGTTTTTGCAGTAGCCAATCTAAAGTGGAAACCATTCATCATTTGTAAATGTTTCTAACGATTATTAATCATTTAGTATCTTTATGGCCATTGGATTTTTAGCTGCTGTAACAAGGGTTGTGTAAATGGTGGCTGGTTAAGTTTAGCTAAATGCTTACTAAAGACATAACAGATTGTAATTTTGGTGCAAAAAATGTTTTTATTGCCTCGACACTCACATTAGTGTAATATTCTTCAGTTTATCATTAAATAGGATATTCCTTGAATCATAAATAAACAATTATAATACTTATAGTATTCAAACTGACCCCTTTACACTACCCTTAAACCTTTAACCAACCCTTAAACCTACCCAAACCTGTCCCTAACCGTACCCGTATCACACCTCAGTAGCAGCAAAAGTGTTGTGCATTAAAGCAAGCTTTTAATCATTTTATAACATCTGTTAAAATCATTTGTAGATTTTCAATAATTGCTTGATCGTATGGAATTGAAAGTTTAATGACATTTGTAATCATTTTAACTTCCATGAAATAATGATGAAGGTTTACATAAAGAAATACTGGGTTGTATTTATAAATGATCAGGGTCGCACAGGGCCATGTGACTTTTAATTAAAGTGTAGAATGGGAAACATTTGTTTTTGGGAAAGAAAAAAAAAAGAGAGAGAAAGACGGCCAGAGGTGAAATCCTCCTGAGTTGTGTGATCTAATTAAAAATTTAGCAGGATTAAATAACAGCGTGCCGCCTCATTAACACGGACTGCGTTTTCCAAATCTTTTCAATTTTTTGACATTTCCCATTCTTAAAAGTCTTTCTTACACAAAATTCAAATTACACACAAGAGCTATAAAACTAAATAATAGAGTCCGACAAACAGGGAAATAATTATTATTGGCTCTGTTTCCTTTTTGCAGGGAGCCAATAACGCCCAGATACGGCGAGCAGTAAAGGACACGTTTTCCAACCCTCAGTCCCCGCAGCCCTCTCCCTACAGCTCACCCAAATCCCAGCATAAAGCAAACCAGAGCTTCCTGCTCCCTGGATGGGAAATGAGAATAGCACCCAATGGACGGCCGTTCTTCATCGACCACAACAGCAGAACCACCACATGGGTAAGACAAACACTCACGAAATCTCTTCCAAACCTAGTGAAGTTCATGGTGAGGGCAATCCCAGAATGCTTTGTAATGACCTTTCAGGAAAAAAAATGCAAGATGGCCGTGAGTGAAAAAGATGAAATGTTCACTATAAATTATTTATATATAGCTTTACCTAATTATAAATCAGGCTTAGTAGCATGTAATGGCAGACTCTGTTGTAATCATAATAGTTGTAAGTGTACTGTTTTGAGATGCTGGAGCATGGCAGCTTTTTAGGTTTTGGAACAGTGCTGCAGTTCCATTTGCTGACATAACTATGGTTTATATGCAGCTGCTATCATTAAGCATTTGTTTACTATGATACAAATACCGTCAGTTGTTTAACCTGGAGCTTGACTGGTTGGCTTCACCTGCACTGTCTGCTCTCTGCTGTAGAGTTTTCAAAGAATATTTTATTTTATTTTATTTTATTGTGCATAATGAATGTGCATAATGAATTGTGCAATTTTTATTGTTGTAGTCTAATGATTATTTTTATTGCTTAATGCTATAATTACTTTACAATGTGTATAATTTGCACAACATTATGTATTTCTCAAATGTGTCTCCAATTAGGGTTGTTAAAATAACTCTTTTTACTTTAAATAAAATAAAAAATTAAATAAACATAAAAAATTATATTTATATATACAATTATAAAACTAAATCAATAATAAATGAGAATAGCTTTGGCAACTTCAGGCAGTTCCTTTGACCTCGTGATTCTCATTTGCTCTGACATGCACTGTGAGTTGTAAGGTCTTATATAGACAGGTGTGTGGCTTTTCTAATCAAGTCCAATCAGTATAATCACACACAGCTGGACTCAAATGAAGGTGTAGAACCATCTCAAGGATGATCAGAAGAAATGGACAGCACCTGAGTTAAATATATGAGTGTCACAGCAAAGGGTCTGAATACTTAGGACCATGTGATATTTCAGTTTTTCTTTTTTAATAAATCTGCAAAAATGTCAACAATTCTGTGTTTTTCTGTCAATATGGGGTGTTGTGTGTACATTAATGAGGAAAAAAAAAATAACTTAAATGAGTTTAGCAAATGGCTGCAATATAACAAAGACTGAAAAATTTAAGGGGGTCTGAATACTTTCCGTACCCACTGTATATATATATATACACATACTACACTTAAAACTAAACTACAATTTAAATATAAACAGAAAATATTTAAAAAATTCAAAACATTACCAAAAACTATAATAGTATATCATGTATACTAAAATAATGCTGTCTCCAAAGCAAACTTCTAATTTATTAAAATAATAATAATAAAAATAATCAGTAATAATAATACATTTAGTGGTTGCCATTTTCTCAAATGTTTACAAGTAAGATCTGATATTTTAAATGTTTCTCTTTTGCCTACGTTAAGATGCGTGAAAGGTATTTGGGGAAAAAAGACTTTCACAGATACGCACACACCAACACACACAGTCTTGCTCATAATTGCACACTTCAGTGCCCCATAGCTGGAGGGAGGCCCCGGGTGATGCAGACCTGATACGCTGAGAATCAGTGTGCCACCTGGTGTCTGACAGAGGATCTGCAGCTTCTCTCCTGTGCCCTAATTTCCCTCAGCACAGGCTCGCCTTTGTCCATTTCTGTGTCAAATGTTTTGCATCCTCTTTTGAGGTTGTTTGTAATTGGACAGGTTTACGATGAAAACAAATTGATTTTCTCTTCTTTGCACGATTGCTTATAATAGTACGTTGTGGTTTACAAAGTATGTCTTCATTAAATCCTGCTTGTGCTTTTGAAATGTCCACAGAGAAGACTAAAAAGTTCACCATGTGTAATTACTGCATAATCTCCCCATGAGACGAAAAAGAAACACAATCATTCCAGTATTACTTCCTTATTGTCAGAAGAACTGCATTTTGGCAGCAGACAGCAAATGCAATTTACTGCTAAACGAGGATAAAGCCTTCTGGGAAAATTTGAGCATGTCTCAACCTCTCTCTCTCTTTCTCTTTTTCTCTTTTCAGGAAGATCCTCGCTTAAAGTATCCCGTTCACATGAGGACAAAAGCATCCCTGGACCCTGGCGACCTCGGCCCACTTCCTGTGAGTATAAACAGAGTGGTGCTGAGCAATATTACCCACAAATCCCAGCTCTTTCAACAGCCTTGTGTGACATGTGTCCTTGTGTTGTGACACAGCGATGTCATACGAGAACCGCGAAACGAATTCAATCTGCAAAGCAAAAAATAGGATTAAGTCTGACAATTGAATGGGAAAACCGTAACTAATAACACAACAGCAGGAATTTGGCTGTGGCGTTTTGTGGATTTCTTTGTTGATGTCCTCAAGCTGTTGTAAACGAACAATGCTACAAAAATTTGACAGTGGATTAGCTCATCTGAGATCTTTGTTTTTTTTTTTATACCTATAATGAAATTTGTCCAAGAACAGTAATAAAATCTAGTCCAAAATGAACACTTGATAAGAGCCAAAATTGCCTTTGGCAAGTAAATGCAGTGCTCGCTGGTTGGCTGGTAACTTTATAAGGAAATGCAACACAATACAATTTACAATAACAGCAATATGCAGGATTGTATCCAGATATAAAAGGATTTGCTAAAGAAAAGCTGTTGTGACTTGTGTAGCAAAGTTTATCTGTGTATTAACAATGTTCTTTTTTTTTCCCTACGGAACTCCATGTGGCAATACGTGAAATGTACTCAATTTAAATGGAAATAGGAGAAGCGAATGACGTTTTGTGTTGTCACCTCATTTCACTTCAGAGTCTGGCTTATCAGAAGAACCTCACAAGGGTGCAAAAATATTCTAAATATTCCCATATTCTAAATAATAAATAATCATGTTTATATATTGACAAAAATATGTTTTCAAGTAATATTTATATTTATGAGCAGTAAAAAAAAAAAGTCAAATTAAAATTAATTTTTGAACCCAAGGAATAATGCATCCCTGGTGATACTGTAGCACAAATGCTGTTGCTGTTGCAGTATCTCATACAGTATGATGAGATTGTGAGGAGTTTTTTTTCCACCTAGGAAAGCTATTTAGATGCCAGTGTTTGGTAATCACACCTTCTCTTCTCAGGTTTTCAGTGGAAATACGTGCCAGCAAACAGGGACTAATCTAATAAACATCTATTTTCGTGCTTGTTTTCATGTAATGTTGAAAATGCCATGCAAGTAAATTTAAAAGTAGCATTTCTGTGATTTCAAAACAGAGATTTTTTTATTACACACTCTTATATCAAATGTCTAAGAATTGTAGTACTTTAACTTGTTTCAGTTAGTTGCCAAAGCAACATCACTAATTTTCGTTTAAGTTTATAATCTAATATTTATATTTTATTTTATTGAATCTTTATTTAAATTGATATTAGTAGTTTTAGTTAACAGTAACAACTGGTACATTCACACGTTTTGTATATGATTTTTCTTCTTTTTAAAAACTCTGTATAAATGATTCCCACTGCATTGACTGTAGCTCTGTCTCACAAGCTGGTGGTGTGTGGTAGAAGACTAGTTAGGTACGCAGGAGCTAAACCATTAAGGGCCTTGTAGGCAAGTAATAATATTTTGTAACTGATATGGAACTTAATAGGTAGCCAGTGCAGAGACTGTAAAATTGGGGTAATATGATCATATTTTTAGACTCTAGCCGCTGCATTTTGGACTACCTGTAGCTTGTTTATTGAAGATGCAGGACAATCACCTAGCAGTGCATTACAATAGTCCAGTCTAGAGGTCATGAATGCATGAACTAGCTTCATAGGGATATCAGAATATTAAGTTTTAAGCTTTAAACCAAACCAACAAGATAAATCATAACATCGGTTTCAAAAGCAAAAAATATTTGTTAATCAGGAAAAAGAGGTAAAAAACTTTTTTTAAAACTTGTGCGCCTATGAGGAAATGAATGAACTGTTCTCATGAATCAATGTAAATAATACAAGTAATCTGGGTTTTGTGTCCTTTTCAATTATTTTATTGTCATTATCTTTTATGGTCTAGTGCTACATTAATTAAAATGGTAAATAGCTAATGTTATGTAGTTTCTGCTAGCCTGACTGATTACCCATTTCTGTGGTAATTTGTGGTTAATATAATACATTAAAATCAGTGATTCTCAGCTTGTACCAGTGGCCGAATGTAGTACCTACCTACCTATTTTATTTTATTTTATTTTTAAAATGCATAAATGGCAAGAAAAGTATAATTTATCTGCCTAACACATGGATTAATAACTAGGCCAAATGCTGAATAAGTGGCAGAAGGATTTTCAACAAAATATAGGGTTTTGGGTTGTGACCCACCAAAAATTACAACAAACTGAAGTATTTACATAAGCATATATCATTACTTTACAATTGCAGAACTCTTGGTAGGTGTGTGTTTTAAAAGATACACATCAATACAACCCTAAACTGGATTTTTACTTCCAGAACCCATCTTTTGAGCTCTGTTTGTCCTGTCTGTCTCCATTTTTCTCTCTTTATATTTCCCCCTGCACGTATCTCGTATCTGGTTGTGTTGATTATCATTTATCCATCCGTCATCCTTCCTCTTCTCTGCATCCTCCACACCTGCACAGTGTGCATCCTGTGCTTCATTCGATGCCAGTTTTGGTTGATGCCCATTCAGCACGTGAGCGCTTGTCTTCAGTGCTGGCTCAGAGTCTCTCATTCGTAAACGAAGGTCTTGTCCCCTCTCCGGATCCCATGTGTGGGTCATCAAACAGCTTACCTTGATGTCGTGGGTTATGAATTGTTGGCCTGTTTGGATGTGTATCCCTGGCTGTGATTTTTGTCAGGCCTGACGGTTTCTTGTGATGTTGGTATCGACGTGGGTTTGCAGCTCTCGGGGGTCTCCGCTCTCAAAAGAGGGGAAGTGTGTGAATGCGTGTGTGTGTGTGTGTGTGTGTCAGAGTGAGAGTGAATAAATGATGTCTCTTCTGCATGCTAGTGGAACTCTGTCGTGGAAGCTCTCCCACACTGAACCGAGGAATCGTCATATGTTTCTGTTCCTTCCTCCCGTCACATTATCTGTTTCAGTTGTTGTGTTGATGTATCAGTGGTGTATCAGGTCTGGTGGGTTCGTCTGATCTTAATGTCACTCTTTTTCTCTGAATCTCCGCAGCCTGGGTGGGAGGAACGAGTGCACGCAGACGGGAGAACCTTTTACATCGACCATAGTAAGGACACTCATTTATTGACAAAATAAGCAGACACATTTGAGTGCAAAATTTAAACCTTAAGCTAACATGTTAACTTAAAGGCATGTTTATCCAAAAATGTTTGTTGTTCCAAACCTGCATGAATTTTTTTCTTCTTTTGTTCAACAGATGAAAGAATCTCATACAGGTTTCATTTTGGGGTGAACTATCACTTTAAGTTATTAAAAATATTATATTTAACACATACACTAATATTTATGGTCTAAAATTACTTTTCATTTTCCTTTCCAAAGTATTCTAAATATTTTATACTTTTGGCAGCAATTAAGTTTTATACATGGTTTAAAAGAACTGTTTTCATTTTGAATATATTTTGAAATCTATTTAAAATAAAACACAAAATTCAACATTTCGTTCTGCTTTATATGGTCAGAAATTACAATTATTTTATGCTATTGACAGCGATAGTTTTTAACAATAAAACTTCTCTTTTTTTATTTTTTTTATTTTGAATGTCTTTACATCACTGTAAACGTACTGTAATACTGGGTAGAAGTTTTTATTCAATTTTGGAGTTTGAAACTCTGCTTTAAAATTTGGCCAAAATGAGATGGAATCCAGCATAGTTTTGCAGTCTACTCTTGGGAACTATAATCCAGCTGCCTTCTGTTTTACACAAACACTAATGCAGGTTCCATTCACAGATATGCTCTCAAGTTCCTATTTGTTGTTTTGTCTCAGTAACTTTATTCTGTGCTGTGTGATCAATATCCATTTAGATGTTTAAGGTAATACTTAGTTGGGAGATCATTTTACTCATGCATCATTAAACTCGGACATGCCCTCGGTGTCCGTCACAACACGGGTGTGTTCAAGCACTGCTGAGTCTGCTGCTGTGGTCGATATACAGGTGCATCTCAATAAATTAGAATGTCATGGAAAAGTTCATTTATTTCAGTAATTCAACTCAAATTGTGAAACTCGTGTATTAAATAAATTCAGTGCACACAGACTGAAGTAGTTTAAGTCTTTGGTTCTTTTAATTGTGATGATTTTGGCTCACATTTAACAAAAACCCACCAATTCACTATCTCAACCAATTAGAAAATGGTGGCATACCAATCAGCTAATCAACTCAAAACACCTGCAAAGGTTTCCTGAGCCTTCAAAATGGTCTCTCAGTTTGGTTCACTAGGCTACACAATCATGGGGAAGACTGCTGATCTGACAGTTGTCCAGAAGACAATCATTGACACCCTTCACAAGGAGGGTAAGCCACAAACATTCATTGCCAAAGAAGATGACTGTTCACAGAGTGCTGTATCCAAGCATGTTAACAGAAAGTTGAGTGGACGGAAAAAGTGTGGAAGAAAAATATGCACAACCGACTGAGAGAACCGCAGCCTTAGGAGGATTGTCCAGCAAAATCGATTCAAGAATTTGAGTGAACTTCACAAGGATCATGCAAAAGGAGCCCCTACCAAGTATTGAGTACATGTACAGTAAATTAACATACTTTCCAGAAGGCCAACAATTCACTAAAAAATTTTTTTTATTGGTCTTATGAAGTATTCTAATTTGTTGAGATAGTGAATTGGTGGGTTTTTGTTAAATGTGAGCCAAAATCATCACAATTAAAAGAACCAAAGACTTAAACTACTTCAGTCTGTGTGCATTGAATTTATTTAATATACGAGTTTCACAATTTGAGTTGAATTACTGAAATAAATGAACTTTTCCATGACATTCTAATTTATTGAGATGCACCTGTACACCTGTTTTGTTTGTCAGCTCCACACATTCACAAATGACATCAAGTGTTTGCCAGGTCCAGTGGTGTCTACACTGATTTATGTTGAACCACCACATTGAAAGTTTGTTAAATTAACAAATTTCTTTTAAAAGGGCAGCTAGTTTTCTGTAAATGTGAGGCTTATAAAATTCCTCTTCTCTCCATCAGACACCAAAAAAACGCAGTGGGAAGACCCTCGCCTCCAGAGTCCCGCCATAACTGGACCTGTGAGTGTACTTTTATTCTCCATCACAGTCTTTCTATTGTTCTGTCTCTGTTCTCCTATAACACTTGTGGCTTTTTGTTATAAAAAAAAATTGGTAGAGAATACAAGGAGATTTGTCAGGAGTAGGAGAAAAAAATACTTACGATTACACCTACAATTAAAATGCAAAATTACAATTTTTTTAATGGCTAATTTTTAGTTTTGATTGTTTTACTATTAGTATTATTATTAATAGTAATAAGAAATAATTCTCATTTTTCACAATGATCCTCATTACTGCAATATTGAAATTTTTATTGCATTACAGTTAAAAATTTTATAGAATCCTTTTCTTTTTTTTTACTGATTAAATTAGAGGTATTACAACATAAAAATTACTTGTTTTTACAATAGAATAAAATTAAAAAGCTATGTCACAATGCAAAATAGAGGCCATTTTTTTGTTTAAATGTTTTATTCGTTTAAAAAAATACTGTGTGTGTGTGTGTGTGTGTGTGTGTGTGTGTGTTGATGTTCTTTTGAAAACATTTCTAATTATTTCCAAACTCATGTTTGCCTTCTTGCTTGTCCATTGGTACAAGTCCCCCCACTGATCAAGTTTCAGTTTTAGTTTTAGTTTTATTGTATTAATTTGTTTATTTATTTGTCTTCTCTTAGGCGGTGCCGTATTCCAGAGAATTCAAGCAGAAGTATGACTACTTCAGAAAGAAGTTAAAGAAACCGGTAAGAAACTAAGCATTTTCAGAGACATTACAGTGAGCTCTTTCCTGTCACATACTGTATTCCTAGACACTCTAATTTATTCTGTGTGAAATCCCTGTCGAGGAGTGATTTTTTCTTCTTTTTTTTTTAATTGGATGTTAAATTGTTCTTCATACGACAGAAACGCATTCCTTTACACTGCTGTGATTGTTTCAAGCCTTCATATTACATTTAAATGTTAGTCACTAACCGTGAGCTTCAGGTTATTATTTTGTGATTTTAATCATCCAAATATCATAAATTCCAGGATGCATCTGTATGTTACTCGAATCTCTCTCTCCCCCACAGGCAGATATTCCGAACCGTTTTGAGATGAAACTGCACAGGAATAACATCTTGGAGGAGTCGTACAGACGAATCATGTCCATGAAGAGACCCGACAGTCTGAAGGCCCGACTGTGGATCGAGTTTGAATCGGAGAAAGGCCTCGACTATGGTGGCGTGGCCAGAGAATGGTTCTTCCTGCTCTCCAAGGAGATGTTTAACCCTTATTATGGGCTGTTTGAGTACTCGGCCACGTAAGTATCTATGTGTTTGTACACTACAGTTTTGTGTTTTGTCAAGTTTGAACTTCTTTGGCAGATTTGCTCAAACTGGCACATAAATCCTGAACCACCCACCTCCACTTCTCGCCTCTTATCCGTATCCCCTTTTAGTGTGCATCCCAGAGGCTTTACTAGCACGTCAGACTTCAGGGCTCCAGACTGCGACTAAAAAGGTCGCGTCCATTTGCAACCAAAAATATTCATTTGCGAGTTAAGTTTTTGCTGAGGTCGCCACTGGCGACTATATATAGCCTATTTACATGTTATAACTTAAAATTTTCCTGATTGTTTTGCGATCACATCTTTTATTATGTTCACGTATTAAACTGAGACGATGCACATCAAAGTTTTAGTGGAAAAAAAGAGTTTCAAACAGTCCTTATCTCTGCCGCACAGCAGCATTGTCGCACACCTGCTAAACGCAGCTCAGTCGTGCAGCGCGAGAGAGATCGAAATGACGTGTGAAGTGAAAGTGCAGAAAAGCAGTGTCTATTTCGTGCACAACTTGAACAAACTACAACAGGTAAAGCTGTCAGCTGTTCAGCTTAACAATTCTCGTTTATTATTACTTATTATTATTACTAACGACATTATTAACTGTCTTGATCTTTACTTTGAAAGCTGAAGCTGCGATTATGGTAAGGGGCATTACATTTCCGACGTGTGCTTGTGGTGTTCGGCCAATCACAATGCACTGGGTCAGCTGGCCAATCAGAGCAGACTGCGCTTGTCAAAGGAGGGGGCTTTGTTGAAAACGACGTGTTTGAGAGAGACGGGGCATAGAGGACCTACAATAATGTACAGTATTTGAAAAATAATGTGTTTTTTGAACATTAAAGCATGTCAACATATTCTGTTACACCAAATACACAAAATAATGATCTTTAAAATAGCATCATATGACCCCTTTAAAGAACAATCTCTTTCTCAATTTTTTTATAATCTGAAGAACCTTCTTTCGCCACAAAGAACCTTTTGTTAAACGTAAAGGTTCTTCAGATGTTAAAGGTTCTTTATGAAAACATTTAGACAAAAAAAGTTCTTCTATGGCATCGTGAAGCACCTTTATATTTTTAAGAGTGTATGACAACATTTACAGGATACATTGAGGAGCCCAAACTACACTCAGTGGCCAAGTGATGCATATATGGTCCACGATATTGGTACAGATTCTGTGTAATGAACAATTATTTGTGACTGTATATTTCAAGTTGGAAAAGACATTTAGTTCCCACTTTAAGTGAACCTTAGTTCTCAGGTCATCTACAAGATGGATTAAAATGCTGATAAAGTCAAGAAAAGATGAGACATAAACACATGACAGTATGCTTGAAATGTTAAAATGTAAAAAATAATAATAATAACATATGTTTATTCTGTGGCACCTAAAAAAATTATTTGCCACCTAAGTTTTTTTCTTATAGGAGCCAATGGCTCCTTACTCGATTTTTTTGTCTGGAGCCCTGAGACTTACTAGCTTCCTTTGCAATTCTTAGTTCAGTTTTAATGGTGTTTTGTAGTTGTGACATGATTTAGCTGTGAGCAGGCATCTCTATTTTTTGCTCATCAAGATTTTTTTTTATTATTGCGTCACATATTTTTATTTTATTTTATAATCTGTTTATTTTGTTGTTGTTTTTTATCTGTCTATCTGCCTATGTCAATCTGTTAGAGTTTTTGTCTATCTTTATTTATCTATCTATATCCATATGTCTGTCTTCCTGTCTATGTATATGTGTCTGTCTGTCTATTTATCTATGTATTTACATGTGTGCATATATATATATATATATATATTAGTCTGTGTGTATGTCTATTTCTCTCTCTGTATATCTGTCAGTCTATAAATATCTGTCTGTCTGTCTATAAATATATCTGTCTCTGTGTCTATATATATCCGTCTGTCTGTGTGTCTGTCTGGCTGTCTGTATTGTTGTTCTGAAAGAAGAAAGCATTTACTGTGTTACAGAGCTGGTCTCTTATCTTGTTATCTCCCCCCACTGACACTCATTAGAGGACACAGCAGAGCTGGCATCATAATTCATTCATTTAACGTCTCCCTTCTGTCTGTCTGCAGAGATAACTACACCCTTCAGATCAATCCAAACTCTGGCCTCTGTAATGAGGATCACCTCTCATACTTCAAGTTCATCGGTCGGGTGGCTGGCATGGCTGTGTATCACGGAAAGCTGTTAGACGGTACATAAGCCTGTTATTTAAGAGACGATCAGAAGCTTTTTCATGTGACACTTTCTCTATTTTATAGTTGACCTTTCATAATTGAATTATTATTATTTATTTTTTTTTGGAGGTTTGACTTGTAGTTGCTTTTCCCTGTTACAAACAGAAATGCATTCTTGTTTTTTTGCAGGTTTCTTCATCAGACCGTTCTATAAAATGATGCTGGTGAAACAGATCACACTGAATGATATGGAGTCAGTGGTGCGTTAACACACACAGACACACACACACACGCACCAATTTTAAGATATACCTAACCTAACTCAGAAACCTCATAAAACAGAATTCTCATTGAAATCTGTTGTTTAAAGGCGTTGATTTGAAGTTAGTGTGTGACGTGTATACTTCTCATTTTTCCTCATTTCTGTTTTACATTTATGTACACCATGTAGGACAGTGAATACTACAACTCTCTCAAGTGGATTCTGGAAAACGACCCCACAGAACTGGACTTGCGGTTCTGCATTGATGAGGACAACTTTGGACAGGTAACACCATTATGTGTCTAAATGTATGTTTTTGTTGAAGTGTGAGTCATTTTAAATGAGAAAATGTAATTGTAAAATGTTTTATATTTATAGACATATCAGGTGGATTTAAAGCCAAGCGGATCAGACATGGTTGTAACCAATGACAACAAAAAAGAATACATAGAGTGAGTTGCTCTCTTGCTCTACTTGTAAATTACTACATATAGCATCTTATACCAACAAAATCTTTGTTTTTGTTGTTGTTTTTTCTGCACAGTCTGGTGATTCAGTGGCGGTTTGTGAACCGGGTCCAGAAACAGATGAACGCCTTTTTGGAGGTACATGATCAAATCACACAATAAAAATGTATCTGTAGTTCCAGCTATTGCCACTAGGTGGTAGCAGAAGTTAGATAATTCCTTATAGCTAAAGATGCTATATTGACATGCAATGATTTGATCATGTTTCACATATCTGTTTCACAGGGCTTCACCGAACTCATTCCCATTGACTTGATAAAGATTTTTGATGAAAACGAACTGGAGGTAACAACTTACCACATAGTATTACTCTGTATGTCGTTGTCATGGAGACTGAATCCTCCATGTCCAAGACTTTCATAGAATTATATATATATATATTAATAAAAGCCTGTATTTTGTTGAATGAATTGGCTCTTCTCACATGAGCACACAGCAATGCATTTCTGTTCAGGTTGTTTTTTGCATAGTGGGGGAAAGCCACACTTAAACCCATCATTGTGGCAAATAATAATAAACGAATAAAGACAGACTGTGCAGTATATATTATGGTATAAATGTCAGCCAGTAGAGGTTCTGCTGCTGTACTATTTATACTGCAATGTATCATCTGCATGATTTTTACGATGTGAAGTGGGGTTTTTTTTTTTTTGTTCTAATACCTGATTTATAGTTTAGCAATTATCTTATTCCTATTTTCAAATAAAGAAAATAATCAAATAAAATAATGTACTTTTAAGTATATGAAACATTTGGGGTACTATATAGTATACACCATATTATACAGGAGTTATTATATATACACATAAGCACACGCACAAACAACTGTTAAAAATTTAAGGGTCAGTATGAATTTTTTAAATTTTAATTCTTTTTTTTTTTTATTTTAATTATTACTTTTACTTAGCAAGGACAATCAAAAGTGTCACTAAAGACATTTAAAATGTTACAAAAGATCAAAATGTATTATTGTTTTCACAAAAAAATATTAGGCAGCACAACTTTTTTTAATTAATTTTTTATATTGATAAGAATAATTTTTCTTGAGTACCAAATCAGCATATTAGAATGATTTCTGAAGGATCATGTGACACTGAAGACTGGAGTAATGATGCTGAAAATTCTGCTTTGCCATTGCAGGATTTATTTTTTTAATATATATATATATATATATATTTAAAAAATATAATAGAAAAGAGTGTTCCAATTTTTTTTTTTAAGTTGTAATAAAATTTCACAATATTACTGAATTTATTTTTTATCAAAAAGGCAGCCTTGGTGAGCATAAAAACATTAAAAAACAAACAAAAATCATACCCACCCTAAACTGTGTTTATAATGCTTTCTGAAATGCAGTAGTTGATTTTGGTCTGTGTGTGTTTATTGTGCTGTATTCTCTGTCTCCAGCTGCTGATGTGTGGTCTGGGTGACGTGGACGTCAATGACTGGAGGCAGCACACCGTCTATAAGAATAGCTACTGTCCTAATCACCCTGTGATCCAGTGGTTCTGGAAGGTATGGAGAAGCATGTAGCCTGTGTGTTTTGTGTGCATTTATAACAATAGTAAAGTCGCCTGAACTATGAAATAATACAAATGTAGCGACTAAAAAATGTTTTAACAAATCAAAACAATCTTATGTTTGATATTAACTACAGGTTTGCATCCTGGGATGATGATCTCAAACTAATGTATTTTATAAAAAGTTAGTTTTGCAAAGAAATTTATATTTAGTCATGAATGCATATTTTTCTTCAAAATTAATTTCAGGCGTTTAAACAAACCTTTAGAACAAAAGATTTTAAAGATCATGGGAAACAAATTCAGTCAAGTGTGTCCAAACTTTTGTATGCATGAGTGTGTCTGACCCCATGCCAAGTGCACTGCGGGCAGTTACCGATCAAAGTCTGTTTGATGTGAGGCTCATCGAGTGTTTACTCTGATGAAAGAGTCACGGAGCGCATTATGAACTTCTTATCAGCAGTCTGGAGACAGACTTGCTCTTTCTACAAACACACACACACACACGAACATACATACAGATTTACTCTCCAATGCATATATGCAGCAAATGTGTTATATTTGAAACTTGATTTCAAGTATGTGTTAAATTAGGCACAAATTTCTTTAGCTGTAAAGTAAATCTGTCAGATCAGAGCTGCACATCTAGAGAGACCGATTTTCTGATCCTCTTCCCTCCTCTCATCCCCATAAATTCATGTGCTTTCACAACTGTTTCTGTGAAAAAATATATGGCAAAAATGCCAAACACTAAAACAAAAGTCATACAGAATCCAATATTTTTAAATAAATCTAGATGTGATTAATACATTTAGATATAGAATATGAATATTTTTTAACAATCAAGCAACCATATCCTAATGCAGTCAACTTGCACATTAAGTAGATCAGCTTTAAGTGGAGTTTTTCTACTGATGCTTATTTGAATGGAATTCTCGGGGTATTTATTTCGAGAGAAAAACTACCTTTGTTCCCTTACATGGTTGTTTTGAGAACTCATTTCCTGGAAAATGTTTTCCTTACTGCTAGTATAAACAGATGAAAGTTATTGGTATCAACTATGTCTCTCTCCATCTCTGCTCAGGCCGTGTTGTTAATGGATGCTGAAAAGCGGATCAGACTTTTGCAGTTTGTCACTGGAACATCCAGAGTGCCAATGAATGGCTTTGCTGAACTCTACGGTAAATAATGCTCTACTGTGCCACATATAATATAATATAAATATTATACAATACAATACATATGTGTATGTGTGTGCTATTTTGTAAATGTACGTATGTTTTTCAGAAAATGTCGCTGGCGTTGTTTTTGTACTATCATTTCTCTTGACGATTTAACGTGTTTGTAGCAGCTTTCTCTGTTTTCAGATTTTAGCGTTTCCCTTTGAGACTTGTATAATGAATTGGCTCCATTCCTAATTGGTCTTTGACGAGTCACGTGATCTTTTGCAGGTTCCAATGGGCCCCAGTTGTTTACTATCGAGCAGTGGGGGACACCTGACAAACTCCCTCGTGCTCATACCTGGTAAGAGGGATTTGACCGCTTTATTTACTCAAACATCTACAGGTGCATCTCAATAAATTAGAATGTCGTGGAAAAGTTCATTTATTTCAGTAATTCAACTCAAATTGTGACACTCGTGTATTAAATCAATTCAATGCACACAAACTGAAGTAGTTTAAGTCTTTGGTTCTTTTAATTGGGATGATTTTGGCTCACATTTAACAAAAACCCACCAATTCACTATCTCAACAAACTAGAATATGGTGACATGCCAATCAGCTAATCAACTCAAAACACCTACAAAGGTTTCCTGAGCCTTCAAAATGGTCTCTCAGTTTGGTTCACTAGGCTACACAATCATGGGGAAGACTGCTGATCTGACAGTTGTCCAGAAGACAATCATTGACACCCTTCACAAGGAGGGTAAGCCACAAACATTCATTGCCAAAGAA